TGAGCAGAGGGTCTCCATCTGCAAAACCATAGACTTCTGGCTGAAAGTGGGCATCTCCGCAGGCACCTGCACTGCCATCCTGCTCACTGTCTTGACCTGTTACTTTTGGAAAAAGAATCAAAAGTACATGGTGGGGTACTGGAGTTTGGGGGTGGACATGGTTGGATCATTGAGCCAGAAGGAGTATCAATTCATGGGGCTTTTTTTTCTGGAATGGGCCACAGATACCAGCTCTGGTGAGACACCTCTGGAGTCACTGAGGTCCAGTGTACAGCTTCTCCTGACTCTGGAGCAGCTGTGATGCTACGCGGCAGTCTATATGTGACTGATAGTCTCAAAAGCAAAGCAAAGAGTAGCCTTAATCTGTTGTTACTGTTAATGCTAAAAACGACTTTACGATTCTAATATTTCTATTAAGCTTTGAGATAATGAAACAGCTGGCCTTAACCTCACACCAGCCTCACACCATTCTACTGTGTTTCAATTTCCTTCCCCATTGTATGGAAATATCTGCTTATAGATACTGACAGATGTCTGTTTATGGATAGCGGTATCTATCAACAGGTATCTATATTATAAATCTCCTGTTGATAGCCCAACCTCTTCCTCCCCCCAATTCCATGTTTTGGTCTCTCCCACCCCCTGCTTCATAGGCTGGAGTACAAGTACTCCAAGCTGGTGATGAACGCGACCCTCAAGGACTGCGACCTGCCGGCAGCCGACAGCTGTGCCATCATGGAAGGCGAGGACGTGGAGGATGACCTCATCTTTACCAGCAAGAAGTCACTCTTTGGGAAGATCAAATCATTTACCTCCAAGGTAGGGAGCCTGGCCAGTGCAGAGAGGTCAGCCTGGAGGACTGGAGAAGATACCAACCCTAAGACACTGAAGGGCCCCACACTGTTCATGGACCACTGCTCTGCTCCCCACCCTCCATGCTACTCTGTCTCCCACCCTGAAAATCCTGGCTTCTGCATTCTGCATTTCCAAACCAGCGCTCTTTCCCTGGGGCCCAAGGCTGCTCTTGACTGGGGTCCTTCTCTCCCAACCTGCACTCCAGTTGATGGACTATTTGGGCCTTTTAACTTCCAGAAGGCATAGTGAACCATCCATCTTGTAAGAATAGTTCCCTCCTCCCCCTTTTTCTTTAAAAAAGATTTATTTATGTATACAAGAACTGGGGTACAGGCCAGAGATCCGGGGGGTGAGAGGATTCACCAGAGTCAGAGTGGGAACAGAACAGGCAGACTGACTGAAATCCACTGCTGAGGAGAGCAGTGGGCAAGACAGGATAGGTCTGTTATGCCATGTGGGTTGCTCCCTGGCTGGCCGGGGTTCGAACTCGTACTGCAGAGGCTGTGGATAGCTTCCCAGTGCTGTTCTTAAACCCTTGCGCCCTTTTTCTTTTTTTTTCTTTTTTTTTGAGGGAGGGGAAGAGGCGAGGTCCAAAATCAACTTGTGACAGAAGCAAGGCTCTCCTCTGACCAGTGGAGGGTGCTGTACCCCAGATGTCTGGGCCTGGTGCTTTGGGGGCTGAGTCATAGTTAAGTCTGAGCTGTCCGCCACTGAGCAGTTCTGACCTGGGAGAGGCAGCTCTGTGTGGGTGGGTGACTGAGTGAGTCTGAAGCTCATAAATGCAATACAGACAGCGCTGTCCTGGGCATGGGGCCAGCAGAGAGCATCCCAGCAGCTCCTCCAGGGACAACCCTCTACAGTCCCATGCTGCCAGCACCCATACCCCACTGCTGCCCTGAACCAGTTCACCCAAACAGGTGTGGGCCCACAAGGTGGCAAAAGAAGAGAGGACAGGAGGGATGGTGCAGCAAGGAAGCAAGGAGGTGTCCAGGTGGTTGAATCTCATTCTTTGTGCTGACCTGCCTGGGTGACGCCCTAGGCCTCCTGAGATATTGATATGTATACACATACACAACCATTGGGAGAACAGTGCATGCCAGGACCCTAGCATCTCCCTGGAGCTTCTAGAATTCAGCCAACATGCAAAGTGGGGGCTAAAGACTTCTTTCCTCTGATTCACTGAAGGGAGCAAGAAAAATAGGGGATAATTTATATCTGTGTTTCTACAAAACAACTGAAAGCAGGATGCCATAAGGGTTCCTTCTGTCACCTATTTTCCATTTCTCTTCTTTGTTCCCAAAACATACCTCTGTGCAGCAGCCAGCTCCTGTCACCATCTCTCTTTCAGAGGACTCCTGATGGATTTGACTCGGTACCACTGAAGACGTCCTCAGGAGGCCCAGAAATGGACCTGTGAGAGGCACTGCCCTGCCCTGCCTTGCCTCCTCACCTTGGCACCTCACCTTGCAAGACTGTGGCGATTTGGGTGCCAGCTTCCTGCAACACCCACTGCTGGAAAGCTCTTCATTGTGGCCTTATCAGAAGAAGTTTGAATTTCAGATTTTGTTGTTTTTTTTTTATAGAAAGTACCCAAACCCTTCTTTCTGCTTGCCTCAAATCTGCCAAATATACCCACACTTTGTTTGTTACATTACTCCCTTGCTTGCATCTTAATTCCCAAAATGGTCCACTCGCTGGAACCATCGCTTCACCTGCAGCTCTGCAATGAAAACATTTCTCTCTCCTTAAGCACAGAAACTCCTTCCTCCACCCTCTTACTTAAGGGCAGAAGCAACCCAGGGGGTTTCCCTCAGCTCATGATCAATTTGGGGGAGCAATTGGGGAAGTAGGGTGCTGTTCTTCCTCAGTGCTCCATCTGCATGGTAGCCTGGGTTCACCTTCCTGGATGACAGCTCAAACTGAATGGAAAGGATTGTCTGAGGGCAAGGTGAGTAAGGGCTGGGCAGGAACAGACTTGAAAAGCACAAGAAGAAGCAACAAAGAAGGTTTTTTGGGTATTTTTTTTTTAAACTAGGAGCTTCATTCCCTTTTCTTTGCCTCACTGGAGGCAAAGGGAAAAGTTCACTGAGAAAATGCCCAAAGGCCTGGTGGATCTATTCTCCCCTTTATCCCAGAGCCTCACAGCATCTCCCCATGACAGAGAACCAGGTAAGCCCCAGCCCTGGGTATTCCACCCTTATTCTCTATGCACTTTATGCACAAAGATGACAATCCCTGCCAAGGAGGAAGTCTCCAGGCTTGAGTGCCCCTTTCCTAGAGGCTAGGGCCGTGTCACAGAGCAGAGGTATCTTATTTTGAAAGAACACAAGGGGCCCACAGTTTTAATGGGCCATCCTGGGGGAATCCAGCCCGCACTGGGATTAAAGGTGGCCAGGATGTCTGCCTCTCAGTTTAAGTCCCCTGCTTGGCCTCAGAATGGAAATTTCTAGGCTGGCCAAAGAAGGAATCACCTCCCAGGGCCACACCCCAGTGGCAGAACCAGATCAGCCTCCAAGGAGAAAAGACTTGGGAAGTTGAACCAGGTGTTCACCAAACTGGGTCACTTCACACTTTTATGCCCCTTTCTCTTCCTTTTGCCTGTTCTCATTTCATTTGTGTGATTTAAAAAAAAAAAAATACTAAAGAAAAAACTTCTGGTCCTGATTTCTGGCCATCTCCCCTTTTGAAAGGGTGAGTAGAGTAAATATCCACTCTGGCCCTTTTCTCCACTTCTACACTAAATGCAATTGATGAACTTCAAGTTCAGAATGGTAAAGCCAGAACAAGAGTTTACATTCCCTTCTTTCTACTACTGGCAATTCTTCCTCCCTCAAGCTCAAGCTAGAAGTAACCATTCCATGGTCAAGGGCCCAGATGCCCATGGTTTGTGCCAATTTCCTTTTTTGAATGGCTATTTGATGACCAGGTAGTAGGTATAGAGTGGAGATGGCATTTCTAAGTGGCTTGTGTGCTACAAAATGGTTTGCTGACCTAATTCCCCATCGTTGCCCTGGCGGTGGTCTCATCAATGCTGAGAACAAGGGCCCTGCCTGACTTCTGGCCAACAGCAGCAGCACTCAGGCAGACCCTTTGGTTCAACAGATCCAGAACCTTTTCTTTGCACATCCAAATTCTCCCTCCTCTTGAGGAAGTTGGGCTCTCAGAACCTGCGGCCATGTTGGGGTGCTCCCATGGGATGGCTGAGCTCCGGTCGTAAGTTCCTGTGGCCTCAGGATCACTATGGGCTACTGCCCTGCCACCAAATAATTTTCTTTGGTGACAAAGACCACAGAAGGTCTTTGGCCTATTCTGGAGGGCTGTTCTTTATTCTGACATCATGAAATGGGGTGCCTTCAGAGCAACCTTAAACTCCACTGATTTAGTCATAATACCTTTGGGATCTCTCTTTTCCTGCCCCTTAGTGTACTGACTTTGGGAGACCATCCCTGTTACCTGCCACACTCCTAGGTATGCTGTGGGGGTCTCCTGTTGTCCCTCCAGTAACTTAGACACATGTCAGATAATGTCTAACAGTTCTATCACAATATAACGCATACCATACAATTCACTCATTTTAAATGTACAATTCCATGGACTTTAGTATATTCAGAGTTGTGCATCTAACACCACAATCAATCTTAGAACAGACACATGGTAGCTTTTATATGGGATAAAAGCCTTTCATCCTTAAACTAACATTATAAGTTTTGCACAAGCTATTGAGGGAAGGAATATGGGCTCAGGAGAGAAAATGTTTGAATCCCACACTGTCACCTAGAGGCCAGGAACACACAAGTGACGTTCCTCGTGTGGGAATTACCTGTATTTGACTGAGAATACAAATGAAGACTGGGATATATTTAAGGACCAGGATTTCTTAAGCCAATAAGACCTGTTTTTTGTTTTTTTTTTTTTGGTCTGTCTCTACCTTAAAGATAAGACTTACTATATACAACAGAGACTTTGTATTGGATTTTTCAGCTTTCTGTCTCCTCAAGACTGGTTGGATTTCCTTTTTACTGTGTATTCCAAGAGTTTGTAGTTTGTTAGGGAATGGGCATTGCATGTCACATTCTGTGTGTGTGTGTGTGTGTGTGTGTGTGTGTGTGTGTGAGAGAGAGAGAGAGAGAGAAATAAAAACATACCTTTCAAGTTGTTCTTCTTGAATGGGCTCAATGGGTACGTGAGAAATACTGTGTCCTCGAAGCTGAGGAGAAGGAGGATCCCAAGTCTCTAGAATGATAAAGAAAAGAATATACTTTGAGCAACATGGGCCTAGACTTGGAAGCCTCTCACCATCTGTTGTAGAATCAGCCAAAGCCTCGGTTTCCACAATAATAAAATGCATCTATTGTTACCCAAGATCTTGTCTCCCAAGATGCAGTGACGATCCAAAGAGGCAACACATAAAACACCTCACATGTTTGTTTCCTTCCGTTAACTGGGCAGGGTGAGGGGCACCCCAGAACCCCCAAACCTGCCTGCTCTAAATAGGTTCTGCCATCCGCCGCATCAAGACAAAACATGCTCTCGTCAAGAACAGTTGATTCCCTAAAATGAACTGCTACAGCTGGTTGGCTGTGACCCACATCTGCTTTGATTGGGTGTACCTGGATTGTACGAAGTATCGCCCCTACTGACAGGGTAAAGCCCAAACCTTTAAGAAAGTAGGAACCAAAACTCCAAGGAATTTTGCATCTAAATTAAGTGCCGAATCTAAATTCATGCTCACAGCATTGTCCTTGAACCCATTTTATGATATAATGGTATGATACTGTTACAGAGCAACCCCAATATAAAACGGGTTGCCTGGCTGTGGGTCCCCACCCGCACGCTTAAAAGGGACTTATTAATAATACTCCACTGCAGGCACACACAAAAGGTTAATCAAAGGTTTATTTACAAGGGAAGGGAAAATGAGAAAATGTACAACTCAGGGAAAAAATAGGGAAATAAAGTCTTAAATGCTTCGCACCCGATCTGCCGACCTGGAAACCCAATGACACTCTGAGAGCTGGCCAAGAGCAGAGAGCTGGTGGAGAGCCAAAAAGAAACCCCCCAAGGCCCACGTGTCTAGTTTTATACCAAACCTGGCTGCTTCACTCCACTCCACCCTCAGGTTCCAGCAACCTTCCCTTTGGTGGTGATGGGATTTGTCTTTCCCAATGTCCTGATGGCTTTGGTCTGGAGTGGGGGTGGAGTCCACAAAGCCTGTATGGAATTAGCTTAGGACATCCTTTCCCCCTAACAATCCCATTATAACAGATGAAGAAACTGCACCTCCTACAGTATTAGGAACATGATGTACAAGGTCCTTAGCAGCCTGCCCCACCTCTCCCCACATTGCTGATACTCTAACTGTTCAGGGGTGGTGGGGAAAGGATGTCCTAAAGCTAATTTCATACAAGTTTTGTGGACTCCACCCCCACCCCAGGCCAAAGCCAAAGACACTGGGAACTCCAAATCCCATCACCACCAAAGGGAAGGTGGCTGGGACCTGAGGGTGGGGTTAAGCAGCCAGGTTGGGATAAAGCCAGATACGTGGGCTTTGGAGGGGTCCCCCATTTTGGCTCTCTGCCAGCTCGCAGCGTCTGGCCAGCTCTGAGAGTGACTTTGGGTTTCCAGGTTGGCAGATCGGGTAGGACGCATTAAAGACTTTACTTCCCTATTTTCTCCCTGAGTTGTACATTTTCCTTATTTCCTTTTCCCTTGTAAATAAACCTTTTATTAACCTTTTGTGTGTGCCTGTAGTGGAGTATTCATAAGTCCCTTTTAAGCGCGCGGGTGAGGACCCACAGCCAGGCAACCCGTTCAATATCGGGGCTGTCCTACAACATAACCACACAGAACTTATGACTGTCCCCCAGTGATAAGCACCTCCTGCCTTGGCATCTGACTGCATCTATCCCTCCACCTCCCTTACACTGGACAAATCAACCTTCAAAGCCACCCCACTGTGAAACCGTCCCTGGATCACCGATGGGGATACAATAGTGAAGAAACAATTACTTGGGGACATTGCAGTTAATTTACAGGATTCCGACCATACACTGTGCAGTGTTCCAGGGCAGCAGACACGCAGCAAACATGACCGAGCTTGAAGCGAGGGGAGGAAATGTGTGAATGATTTTCAGGGCTCCCCAATCACTGACAGAGAAGAGCGAAACACACTAACAGGTAACCAGGCAAGAAGATCCTAATAACTTGGTCTAACCCTTGAAAAAGACACTTAAGAACCACAGAGCAACAATGACCACTGCAGAGAGAGGATGTATGAAGGGCTGTGTACAAAGAAATTTATTGGTAATATAACCTATGCGAGGAGCTTCTGGAACAGAAACAGCATTTTAGGGCTGACATTAGCAATTCCACATAAAATGTAACTCCTCACAGAGTACAATGTGGTAGAAGTGACTTTTTCCAACAGAGGGAGAGGCCAGATCAAAGTCCCCACCCTCAGCCCATCCTAGAGGCTAGCTCTGACCTAAGCTCTTTTTAAATGATTCTTCCTTGGTTGCCCAAGGGCAGCAACGTCAGCTTCCTTTGTTCCTGTGTCTCTGATCGAAGGGGGCAGGCAGCCTGGAGCTGCCATGGGATTGTCAGTTCTTCCTGAAACCAAATGATAAATGCTATTGTACTGTGGGAACCTAGGAGGATGCCAGACCAATCTGGGGGAGGGGTCAAGAGGGTGCCAGAGGAAGCTTCTGGGAAGAAGGGGAATTAGCCAGTTTGGAGGAACAGGAGAAGGAAAGGAGGTGCAGGTAGAAGGAGCTTGTACAAGGCTCAGAGGCAAGAAAGGGAAGCCACAAATATTTTGTCTGGAGAATGTGAGGTGGGGGGGATATCAAGAGATAAAGGGAACATGGGAGAGAAACTGTTAGGGGGAAAAGGCTGTCCTAAAGCTAATTCCATACAGGCTTTGTGGACTCCACCCCCACCCCAGGCCAAAGCCAAAGACACTGGGAACTCCAAATCCCATCCCCACCCAAGGGAAGGTGGCTGGGACCTGAGGGTGGGGTGAAGCAGCCAAGTGAGTATAAAGACAGACACGTGGGCTTTGGGGGGGGGGTCCCCCATTTTGGCTCCCCGCCAGCTCGCAGCGTCGGGCCAGCTCTGAGAGTGACTTTGGGTTTCCAGGTCAGCAGATCGGATAGGAGGCATTAAAGACTATTTCCCGGGCCTCCCCGGTGGCGCAGCGGTTGAGTGCTGGGTTGCGAAGCTGCCCAAGGCCTCTGCGGCGCCGGTTCGATCCCCTCCCCGGAGGGTCCCACATGGTGCACAGACCTCTCCTGCCGCCCGCTGCTCCCCTCAGCAGTATACTTCGGTCCTTCTGTTATAGGACAGGGAGAGGGTCAGCCCAAGCCCCGCAAACCTGCCTATTCTAAATGGGTTCTGCCATCCGCCGCATCAACACAAAACATAGGAGACTTTAATGGGAAGGAACTTTAATAAAACTAGGAAACAATACAGGTAAGGCAAAGAGTCTAGTTTCTAAATGAAGCACCCAAAGTTACCCGTCCCCTCGTGGGTAAAAGTCCATCCATATGGGATTGGCCCAGAACAAGGCCCCAAAGCCTGCTACAAGTCTAAAGCACCTTCCAGTGGGGACCCACAGAAAAGGGTCACAAACAACTGGACAAGCCCGGAAGGAAAAGAGCAAAATCAACATCAAGATAAAAGCTGCCATTGTCACCTCCCCACGGGTCTCACCCACATCTGTGTCACCTAGTCCACGACCAAAAGACAAGCGCAGTTTCTTCACGTGTCTCTAGGCTCCATGCGCCTCCTCCAGGTCTCCTGGCTCCATGCTGCTTCCTTCCTCAGTCTCTTCTGCAGCTTCTCCTCTTCCTGCTCAGCTCCACCCTCCCTTGGGAGGGGCAGGGAACCTCCCCCTTTCCTGGGGACCACCCTGTTACACTTCTGCCTGCTCTGCTCCCCGCTCTGGCTCTGGTGAATTCTCTCACCCTCCCGCGCTTCTGACTGTACCCAGTGCTTGTATAAATAAATAAATAAATAAATCTTTAAAAAAAAAAAAAAAGACTTTATTTCCCTATTTTCTCCCTGAGTTGTACATTTTCCTTATTTCCTTTTCCCTTGTAAATAAACCTTTTATTAACCTTTTGTGTGTGCCTGTAGTGGAGTATTCATAAGTCCCTTTTAAGAGCGCAGGTGAGGACCCACAGCCAGGCAACCCGTTCAATATCGGGGCTGTCCTATAACAAAACTGGTAAGGGTAAATCAAGGACTCTGCAAGGAGTAATCAAGGGCAATGGGTAATCATGGAGGGCTGCTAGTGATGAAGAACAAGATCAGAAAGACTGGAAAGGAGGCCTCACAAGACTAAAACCTGACTCACACAAGGAGGTAGGGGTCGAGGGGAATAACAGGACCATTAACCCAGCTGTAAGGGTCTTGACCCTTAGGCACCAGTGCCTTATCACAAGGCAGGAGACCCAAGCAGGATCAGATGCTATAGGGAGTGGAGCTCAGGCCTAAGAGTAAAGATAAGGAGATTGGGCCCACCCTGGAATCTCTGGTCCCTTTCTTCTTCTTTTTTTTTAATTTATACAAGCACTGGGTACAATCAGAAGCGTGGGAGGGTGAGAGGATTCACCAGAGACAGAGCGGGGAGCAGAGCATGCAGACTGACGAAGTACACTGCTAAGAGGAGCAGCGGGCGTCAGGAGAGGTCTGTGCACCATGTGGGACCCTCATACGGCCGACGGGGATCGAATTGGTGCTGCAAAGGCTGCAGGCAGCTTCGCAACCCAGCGCTCAACCGCTGCGCCACCAGGGAGGCCCTCTGGTCCCTTTCTAGTTTTGCCTGTTACCCAACAGTGGCAACAAGCAACCACTCCACGGGGGAGTGACCCCTCCCAAAGAGAAAAGGACTATATCAGTGCAGTATCCGCACAGGTTCGGTGCAGCACTCCCACTACCCACCTGTGACTATGCAGGTGCTTCCTTTTACCAACTCTCTCCCTCTGCAGGGCAGCAGCCTCCTGCCTGCCCGTGATCTGTCCCATGCCAGGACTTGTCTTCACTGACCTCCCTCAGCGGAGGCAGCTCTCCTCAAGGCCGCCTGCCTGCAACCATGCAGGCCTCTCTTAGCAAAACCTGTCCCTTTTCTTTTCCCTAATAAACCTGCTCTTTAAATATAACTAACGTCTCTGTCTCATGGAGAAACACGCCTGGGAAACTCGCCATGTGCTGCTGAAACGGGAGCTCTGGTGAAACCTTTCCCAGAGTGAACCCAAGGACCCCACAACTTCACAAAACGACATCACTAGCAGGGGAGTCAGAGGATGGAGCTTGCTTGTCAAACACTGACAAACCCTACTCCAAATCCAAGGCAAAAAGAGGAATGCAGGGCCTCCCTGGTGGCCAGGGTGTTGAGACGCAACCTATGAGGCTGTCCGCAGCCTCTGCAGCATGAGTTCGATCCAAGGCCAGGGAGCAGCCCACATGGTGTGGCAGACCTCTCCTGTCTCGCCCGATGCTCCCCTCAGCAGTGGGTTTCAGTCAATCTGCCTGTTCTATTCCCCACTCTGTCTCTAGTGAATCTTCTCACCACCCACCCCCACACCTCTGGCCTGTACTCCAGCTCTTACATGCATAAATAAATAAATCTTTTAAAAAAAAAAAAAAAAAGAAGAAGAATGCAGTGAGGCCCAAGAGAACCTTCCCACGTCAGCCAGTGCTGAGCTAGTAAAAACTGAGGAGGACATCTATGGCTGGGTGCACCCCTCTTTTCTTGCTTCCTCCTTGTTTAATAGGGTAATCCATAGGGAAAGGTGAGGTTCCAGGTTCCCTGCCGCACCCTAAGTAAGGGTGGAGCAGAGTAGGGAGAAGAAGCTAGAGAAGACTGGGAGAAAGGAGAGGACCTGGAGGAGGCACATGGGGCAGAGAGGCATGTAAAGAAGCTGTGTTGGCTTCTTGGCCTTGGACTGATACTAGGGACCTGGGGAACATGGCAGGAGACACTGGAAACAGACGTGGGTGAGGGACCTGTGGGTGATTAACAATGGCAGTTTTTACCTTGATTTTTATTTTGCTCTTTTTCTTCCAGACTTGCCTGGCCCCTTCTGCTGCTTTCCTATGTGTCTCCACCAGAAGGTGCCTCAGACTTGTGGCAGGCTTTTGGGCCTCAGCAGCCCTGCTTTGGGCTAACCCTATTTGGTTGGGCATTTGCCCACGAGGGGATGGGTAACTTTGGGTGCTTGATTTGGAACTACTTGAAACTAGATTCTTTCTCTTTTCTTCTCTCTATTGCACACTATTTGTATTAAAGTTATTTTCTACTGAAGGACTTATGTACTAGAGTATGTTTTGTCTTGATGTGGCAGGTGGCAGAATCCATTTAGAGTGTGAAGGTTTGGGGTTCCCGGGGTACCCCTTACTCTGTCTAATAACACTTGCAGTTACTCATTCCCTCTGGGCTCCCAATAGCTCCCCAAGGCCCCAAGGTAATTTCTCACCTATAATTCTGCTCTCTGTACCTGCAGTAAGCTTCTAACCCCTCAGTCTAATTCCTGCAATTCACTCATGCAATGCAATGTATATAATAAGCGTTATATAATAAGCGTCTACTAAGGTGCTTACCAGGCAATGTGCTAGGTCCTGTGGCGATATAGATGCCAATATCCCATGGTTTCTGCCCTATAAGAAAAAGACACATTTTCTAACCAAGTTCCTAAAAAGCCCTGTTTTCTGGTAAAGAATGTTAACAATGGGACAATCCCAAACATAAGACTACCTTAGACACTGAGCAGTAATCAGGTTTTAGTTCCATGGCTTAAATTCCCTGGGCCTCAGTTTCCTCATATAGAAGATAAAGAGATTGGAATAGCTATTTTTCCAATTGGGGTTCCTTAAACCCCTGAGTCCTCAAATGCAGCACCCAAGAGCTAGTCTTAGTTGTAAAGGCTAACAGAAATCGGCCTCCCTGGTGGCACAAGGGGTTAAGTCTCAGCACTATGAAGCTATCCGCAGTCACTGCAGCTATCTGCAGCCACTGAAGGATGAGTTGGATCCTCCGCCAGGGAGCTGACCCACAAAGCGCAGCAGACCTCTCCTGTCTCTCCTGTTGCTCTCCTCAGCAGTGTATTTCAGTCAATCCGCCTGTTCTGTTTCCCAATCTGTCTCTGGTGAATCCTCTCACGCCACCACCCCACCCCGTACCTCTGGCCCGTAACCCAGTTCTTGTATGCATAAATAAATAAATCTTAAAAAAAAAAAAGACTAACAAATCACATATCCAAAAGAGGTATGAAGTATTATGTTGATTTGTTTTTGTATTAGCTTCTGGCAGGAATTATTTAGAGTATTAACACTGTGCATTTCCTGCTGATGGGAAATTCTAGCTGGCAACCTTGTATATCTGATTAGTAAGAAGGGAACATTAGTTATTTTTTTTTAATTATGTTTGTTAGACAAGAATACTTCAAATCTTGGGGGATTGGGTGGTGAAAAGATTAGGAATTATTAGACTAGCAGATAGCTAAGATTCACCTCCAGCTCTAAAAATCCTCTAAGCTGAGACTCTAAGCTGATAAGTGAAGTATGCTTTTATGTTCATTTGTTATACTTATCAAGTAATACAATATCAAATAACATAGGGCCTCCCCTGGTGGCGAAGGCGGTTGAGTGCAGAGCTGTGAAGTTGTCTGCAGCCTCTGCAGCACTGGTTTGATCCCGGCCGCTGGTGAGGGTCCCACATGGCGCAGCAGACCTCTCCTGTCTTGCCCACTGCTCCCCTCAGCAGTGTATTTCATCAGTCTGCCTGTTCTGTTCCCTGCTCTGACTCTGGTGAATCCTCTCACCCTCCCGCACATCTGGCCTGTACCCCGGTTCTTGTAGAAATAAATAAATAAATCTTTTTAAAAAACAAAACAAAACAATATCAAATAACATAATGGTGGAAATTTGGAGCAACCAGAACTTTAAGGTCATCCTTCCAAATACACTGTGACCTTCTTACAGAATAGGCCCAGTGGCCCTCTGCTCCTAACCCTGAGCCACTGTGGGGTCTTCAGCTTTTGAAACTTGGTGCACAGTACATTCTGGCAGTGTCTTCAACGACACAGAAGCAGTTAGCACCCCATCACAGACCTTGCTCTCAAAAGATTTCAGAAGACAATCTTCCATGCTCTCTTCAGAAATTAGTTCCCTAGACTTCCTTTCCGCTGGTTTCATATCTAACATCCTAGGCAGATGAACCTAGGGAAACAAAAGCAGACAGCCCATTTCCTAAACCTCCCTCTGGATCTCTACTTGTCAGCTTCCCCAACAGTGAGCCCCCTGTCCTACACCTCAGACTTGGCTTGGCAGAGGTTTGCTGGGGAGTAGAGAAATCAAAGTCATATTCTCATTACAGAAGCCCATGTGAGTGGCGCAGGACCAAGAGGGTCTCCACACAGCTAGCTTTGGGGCACTGAGGTTCTAAAGTCTCTATTAAGTGGAAGATGGGGGGCAGGCAGGAGGAAGGGGACAAAAGACCTGTTCCCAAATCCTCCAAATACCCTCTTATTATCAGGAAGATTCCTTAATAACTTCGGCTCCACTCAGCAACCAGAATATTTCACCATAAAGGCCTGAACACAACGAATTTAAATTATGATGAAATCTTTGTTCAGGTTTTCAAATCATCCTAAGACATGACCTCAGTACTTTGAACTGCCTTCAAAATCTATTAAATAGTGTTCCCCTTGGAAAATTCTCCTCATGTTAGGGGGAAAGGATGGATTGACAAGTCCTTTTAAGCGCGCGGGCGAGGACCCACAGTCAGGCACCCCGTTTTGTATCGGGGTTGCTCTACAACACTCATCTCTCTCTTAAATGAACGCAATCCCACTTTTACAACCTGTAATTTGAAGGGTTGGTAAAGGGGCAATGTGACTTAATAATCAGATTAATAAAGTTATAAATTCCACAGGTAGGGGGCCTCCCTGGTGGTGCAAGGGGTTAAGCACCGCACTATGAAGCAATTCGCAGCCTCAGCAGTACCAGTTCCATGCCCAGCCAGCCAGGGAGCTACCCACATGGCACAGCAGACCTCTCCTGCTGCTCCCCTCAGGAATGCACTTCGTTCTGTTCCCCACTCTGTCTCTGGTGAATCCTCTCACCCCCCCCCATACCTCTGGCCTGTACCCCAGCTCTTGTATGCATAAATAAATAAATTTTAAAAAATAAATAAATAAATAAATTCCACAGGTAGCAGGAGAACAGGTATCCTGAGCTGAGGTAATCTAGGAACTAATACATGTAGACATACTCTTGCCTCAGGATGGGGTGTCTGCTGGCATCTATTGGAGGCTCCAGCTTCCAAGGGGGGGATGGGCTCTGCCCAACAGGAGATTTACTCATTAACATAAGAAAGAAACCGAGACACTCACTTTTGTGGGGCAACCAGAGGCTCTACAGAGGCGGGCAGCGTTGAGGAGAAAGAACAAGCGGCGGGCAAAGCCACAGCGTGACCAGAACCGCGCACAGTCCGAGCCTCCAGACCCACGCGCTGCGCCCTTCCCTCTGGAGCCCCGGCGCCGGCACTGCCGCTCCTGGCCGAGAGGGGGCGCCTGCGCGGCGCCGCGCTGCGCCTGCGCAGAGGAGGGCGGGTCAGCGCGCCGGCGCAGTGCGTCAGTCACCGGCGCCAGCTGCGAGTCCGCACTTCCCTTCGCGCTGGCCGGGAGAAGGAAAGATGGTGCTGGATCTGGATTTGTTCCGGGTGGATAAAGGAGGGGACCCGGCTCTCATCCGAGAGACGCAGGAGAAACGCTTCAAGGACCCGGGGCTCGTGGATCAGCTGGTGAAGGCAGACGGCGAGTGGCGACGATGTAAGTACGCGGACGCGCTGGGTACCCCGGGTCCTCGCCGCCTCTCCTGAGGCCACATCGTCACCCCTCGTCAGACCCCAGGTTGAGGTGGCTTCGAGGTTTACCCTGCCCCCCTTTCCCCAAGCATCCTTGAAGCTGGACCGTCCCACTTTAACCTTCCACGCGTGCTCGGGGCGCCTGAGCCCGGGAGGGAGCACGGCGCATGCGCATCGGGAGCTGTCAAGCCTCCCCGGCTCAAGGGTAACCAGGAGAGCCCGCGGGAGGCTTGGGGGGCTCTCCCCTCTCCTAGCAGCTGACTCTTGGGTCGCCTCCAGTCTTTTTCTCATCTTCCGCGGGTGAAAGTGGTCGCCCTCTGCTTTGATTGGATTAAAGGCTCAAGCCTGAGGTTGAATCTCCTCTGCATCGTAAATAGTTTCCCTCCACCCATGTTGGTAGAATTTGGGAGCTTTGGAAGCCTCTCCTGGCTAAAAACAGCAAACATAGAGCTTTCGGAAAGGCTATGCCCCTGGTCTGTGGGCATATCTTTAAGAATCAAGAAGTGTTTTCGTAGTAGATCAGATTTCAAGTAGAGAGGTGACGTGAGACAAGAAAGGGCTTGTCGTTCTTGAGGCTGTTTGTGATTTGTGGAAGTTTCCCGAAAAAGACACTGTAGAGTTGGGCTAGAACTTGGAGCTAATCCGAGCATCTTTCGTGAAGCTGAATAAAATGCCTGTCAACCTCTGCTTTGATTAGCTGGAGAAGTCCGTGGTTGGCCGGATGCTGTCAAGCACATGTGATTAGTTTTGTCTGATGCAATAGTTCTGCAAGCAGCTGAGAGCCAGGATTGACATCACACTGCCAGAGCAGTGACTGCCCAAGTGTGTGGTGGGTTTCTATTAGGAAAATTGATTTCTCCGAATTTATAACGTTATTGAGTACCAGGAGAGTGTTTGTTAAACTGAGATTGTCTGTTGATTTTGTGCATCTCAATTGCTCTAATGTAGTGGTTTGTGATATCCCACCCCCTGAACCAGAAGTTTTGAGTTCAATGAAATTAACTTGAATGGAAGGGAAAAAACTAGACTGGACACTGTTTCACCATCAGAAGTACCAAATTTTCCTTTCAAGCTAACGATTGGCTTCAAAATGACTTCAGCTGTCTTAGTCTCTTACATATAATATACACCTCTACTGGAGGGTCTGTCCCTTAACTGGTAAGTGACCATGTGGAGAGGAAATGAGTTATTCAGGAATGAGTTGTGTTTACCTACGTATACATACACACATGCAGGAAATACATGTACCAGCTTGTAGATAATCCTGGGACCTAACACAGCACCTGGTCCTTGGTAAGGGCTTAACAACAGTTTGTTGAATTCGTAACTATCTTCTGTGTTCAGGATACTTTGCCCTTCTGTATGAAAAGCAGTTTATGTATGTAGCTTATTTTCAACACATCTATTAATTTGATTGTTTTTTACCTGACGTCCCTTACCAATGTTCTCCTTAGCCAAAGGGAATTACTGATTTTTCTCCAGAGACTGGCTGACAGATCTTGTATCAGGGTTGTTCTCCATCCAAACCTCACATCAGAGGCTTGGGTTCTTCTCTCATGGGCTGCAGTAAGGACTAACAACCCAGGGCCATATTAAGAACCCGGATCTTGTTCCGCAACTGAGGATGCAGGAGCCTCACTACTTCTCCATTACAGCTACAGTGAGTCCTCACTTAACATTGCAAGTACGTTCTTACAAACTGCTACTTTAAGAGAAACAACATATAATGAAACCAATTTTACCACAGGCTAATTTATATCAGTCAGAATTAAATTCTTGTGATTTCTTCTTTCTAATTCAGAGTAATATAATGAGGACACATTTAGGCATATGATAAACATTTGATTATTTCCAAAGCCCAAACTGTTAGGGAGAAAAGGATGTCCTAAGCTAATTCCATACAGGCTTTGCGGACTCCACCCCACTCCAGACTAAAGCCATCAGGACATTGGGAAAGATAAATCCCATCACCACCAAAGGGAAGGTTACTGGGACCTGAGGGTGGAGTTAAACAGCCAGGTTTGGTATAAAACCAGACATGTGGGTCTTGGGGGCCGCTTTTTGGCTTCACAGCTCTTGGCTCATAGCTAGCTCTCAGAATGCCATTGGATTTCCAGGTCGGCGGACTGGGTAGTACGCGTTTGAGACTTTATTTCCCTATTTTCTCCCTGAGTTGTACATTTCCTTATTTCACCTTTCCTTGTAAATAAACCTTTTATTAACCTTTTGTGTGTGCCTGCAGTGGAGTATTAATAAGTCCCTTTTAAGCGCGCCGGTGAGGACCTACAGCCAGGCAACCCATTTTATATCAAGGCTGCCCTGTAACAGAACCACTGGGTGTCCATATATCTTGAAATCAGCTGCTACCTACTGGAACTTTGTCCTCCCCTAAAAGAAGATCCTATTTTCTGAATGAGATTTCTGTTTAAGATGTTACTTCCTTGGGCCTCCCTGGTGGCGCAGCGGTTGAGCGCTGGGTTGCGAAGCTGCTGGCGACCTCTGCGGCGCCGGTTCGATCCCCGGCTGCTCCCCGGCCACCGGAGGAGGGTCCCACATGGCGCGCAGACCTCTCCTGCCGCCCGCTGCTCCCCTCAGCAGTGTACTTCGGTCCTTCTGCCTGCTCTGCTCCCTGCTCTGGCGCTGGTGAATTCTCTCACCCTCCCGCGCTTCTGACTGTACCCAGTGCATGTATAAACAAACAAACAAACAAACAAATAAATAAATAACATGCCTCTATTAAAAAAAAAGATGTTACTTCCTTTTAACCTTTATTGCTAGTGTCATTAGAATATCTTTCTAACTACTTTCAGTTCACCCAGCCCTGGGCCATGCCCAGGAAGTGTGATCTTTTTGGAATGCAAATATAATCATTTACCTTCCAGACTTCCATCAACTAGTGTTGCAGTGGCTGAGGATAGCTTATTACTCCCTTGCTCCACCAGGGAGGCCCTCTATCCTCATTTTTTTGCCATTCTCCCACATATGCCTCTGCCCTTTGTTCCAGTGTTGTATGCAACACCCATGACTGTTGTCTCTTGGAATACCCCTCACCAGGACACTGCCCCTACTATTAACAGCCCTCTTTCCCACCTAGCTCTGCTTCTATAGCACTGCCTTATTTGTTGAGTGCATTCCAAATGTTTTCTCATATATCTCTGTTGTATATATCTTATTAAATTTTTTTTAAGTTGAGATAATATATTCAGTCAAGTACATAAATCTTAATGTGCAGCTTGAGGAATTTGATAACCACCCCCCAGATCAAGATCTAAGACCTTTGCAGCACCCTCCCAGGCTCCCAGTCATTTTCCCTACTCCAAAAATAACTATATTCTGCCTCCTGTCATCATAAATTGCTTTTATATGATTTTGAACTTCATGTAAATAAACATTGTTACTATTGTATGTGACTTCTTTCTCTCAAAATGATGTCTGTAAGATTATTCCATGTTCTGTATAGCAGTGGTTGGTTCACTTTCCTTGCTGCATAATACTCCACTACATAAATATACCAACCACTACTATTGATGAACACTTATTATTGATGGATTCTTTGAGGGTGTTATGAAAGAGGTGCAACCAACATTGTTACATGTTCCTTTTCATTGACAGCAACACTCATTTCTGTTGGGATATACCTGGGAGTGGAATAACTGGGTTATAGGGTAGGCCTATGTTTATATTACCAAATAGTTTTTTAAAGTGGTTGTAGTGATTGATGCTCCTACCAGCAAGTAGTTAAGAGTTCCAGTTCCTCTCATCCTTGTCCTTGATATCGGCAGTCCTTTAAATTTTATCCATTCTGGTTGGACAAATAGTGGTATCTTACTAGTTTAATTTGTGTTTTCCTGATGACTGAAGGTATTGAGCAACTTTTCATATACTTGTTAGCTTTTTCTTCTTGATCTGTAGGAATTGTTTACACTGGATGCAAGACCTTGTCAAATAGACATATTGCTGTTTTCTCGCATTCTCTGATCTGCCTTTCACTCTTTTAGTTTTAATGAATAGATCTTATTAAGGAAGTCTGATTTATTGATCTTTTTTAGTTTGTGATTCTTGTGCTCTGTTTAAAAAATCTTTTCCTATCCCTAGTTCCTGAAGAGATTCTCTGATTTTTTTTCCTAGAGGTTTTATTACTTTGCCGTTCACAGTTAGGGAGATAATTTATCTCACATTGGTTGGATATATAATGTGAGATAGGGCGCAAAGTTCACTTTGTTTTTTTCATGTGGAAAATATACTTGCTTATGATAAAATGCAGCAAAAGGCGTGGAAGGAAACTTCCTCAATCTGTTAGTAGGCATTTATCAGAAACTTGCTTAGCTAGCATTATTCTTGATAATGAAATATTAAATGCTTTCCTCTTGAGATTGGGAGCAAAACAAGGATATCTCCTATCACTACTTCTAATCCATTGTCACCAGACAGTTGGATGTAAGGCAAGAAAAAGGAATATATGATTGGAACAGAAGTAAAGCTATCATTTGCAGATGACTTGATTGTGTATGCTGAACTATTAAAATTAACTTTAGCAAGATCATTTTATACAATTATACAGAGTCACTGATATTTCTGTATGCAGACAGCAATTTAAAAGCATCTTGATTCCTAAAAATGTCATTTAATCTATGACATTCAGTATCCCTATACTGAAAACTACAAAACATTGCTGAGGAAAATTAAAGATGTTGAAAGGATATACTGGATTCATTGATTGAGTCATTCAGCATTGTTGCAATATTATTTTTTAATTGTCTTATTTTCTTTTATTTCCTAGGACCTACCATGTTATTTTCTTTCATATTCCCAACACTCAGCACAGGACCTTGCAAAGAGGAGGAACCAAATAGCTTTTTTTTTTTAAATTTTTAATTTCAAAATTGTAACAGTTTTATGGAAGCTACAAAATGGTACAGAGAAGTCCTATCTATGTACCCTTCACCCAGTTTCCCCCAACGATAACATCTGACAGAACTGGTATAATACCAAACCGTGAGGTGGACATTGCTACCACCCACAAACCTTATTCAGATTTACATATAGTGCTCTGTGTGTGTGTGTTCACATGTAGGTTTTTAACCACAACCATACTCAAAATACAGAATTGTTCCATCACCACTGTGAAGCCTCTTGCTATCCATGTCCTCTTCCTAGTCTAACCCCTCCCAGCCCATACTATTCTCCAGCTCTGTAATTAATGTAAGTGAATGAGAAAGCAGTTATATTATTTTGTGCTAAAGTTTAGTTTAAGTTTAGTTTAGTTAAAATTTGGCAAAATCAGCAGCTCTCTTGCCCACCTGTGACTACACAAGTGCCTCTTTTTCTTTCTCCTTTTCCTAACAACCCTGTCCTTTAAAATGTAAATAAAATTTTTTTGGGAAAATCTTAAAGAAGAACTATGACTGGGTGCTCTCATTTCCAATAATGCCAAAAGTTTGATTTTTACCATACTGCTCCTAAAGCTTCTACTCAAGAGGTCTGACTTTGCTAATCGCAGTTAGACAGGTGAACTGTGATACCAATATGTTAATTTGAGCCAGATTAACTATGTAGGCTGATTAGTACATTGTTTTCCCCCCAAAAAAGTAAATGTATAAGAAGCCAGAGGCTGCCAGTCGAGCCCTGTGTTAGAATAAGGAAAAAAACATAAACCATCCCTAGCACACATGAGTAACAAAGAGTTCATAGGAATGCAAACAAGACTGCCTTCTTTCTAGAACCCAGTGAGTGCTTTCTACAAATGAATCTTAGGTAATTAAGCAGGTTGTAGTTACTTGAGTAATTTCCAGATTATTCAGATGTGCTGCTCTACAGAGGTATCATCAGGTTATGTTGCTTTTAATTTTAGTCTCAGAATGGCCTTTTCTTCCTCACCAAGTGCTGGGGGGCTCTAGCATAGTCACCAATACATGCCAACTGAATTTGGAGCTCAAAAGCTATAAGATTTCACAACTTCATGAGGTAGATCCTTTAGTTCTGCCTGCATTTTAGCTTTGGGCTGACATCAGTCCTAAGGAGCCAAGGGATCTCAAATACATGTACATTTTTGGTATATTCTTGGTTTCCTATTCTCCAGGCAGATTTCGGGCAGACAATTTGAACAAGCTGAAGAACCTTTGCAGCAAAACAATTGGAGAGAAAATGAAGGTAAGAGAATTAAATAGCAGCTTTGAGAACATGAACAGAGGTATTTAATCTTATTCTTAGTTGATACTTACATAATTTCTAACTTAATATTTCATTCTGTGAGATACTGAATTTTTTATCAAAGGGAGGAAATTATTTTAAAAAGAAAGGAAAGAAAGTAGGGAACTCAGAGGTACTTTTCAGGGGCTGGTGACTCCATCTATATTCAGATTAAGTCTTAGTCCCTCCGACTGCTTAAGAGAGGGCAGACATTTATTTCTGAGAGTCCGGAGTCTGGAAAGTCTAAGATCAAGGGGCCAGCAGATTGGGTGTTTGATGAAGACCCACTTCCTGCTCATGGACAGTCTTCTTACTGTGTGCTCATGTGGTGGAAGGAACAAGGGCGCGCTCTGGACCTATTTTCTAAGGGTTCTAATCCCTTAGATTAGGGATGTGATATGCTCTAATCACCTCTGGAAGACCACCGCCTCCAAATACCATCACTGTGGATGTCAGAGGGACACAGAAATATCGGGGTAACATACATCTATCTATAGCAAGATAGATTCTTGCCACACTGGTTACTCGTCCATTCTGTTCTTATAAGAAGGTACATTCCACCAGTAACAGTGCCAAGAGGGTTTTCTTAGGGCAGACTTCGGATTCTTTGTAGTCATGCTCTTTAATGAGAAGAGCCCAGATATGGGATCCAAAGCCCAGACTGATGACTTCAGGCAAGTTAACTTTTGAGCCTCAGCTTTCTCATCTGTGCAATGACAGTATCTTCACTGATGAAACAGAATTGTGAGAACGAAGTTTTTTTAATGTAGAGAGCCTGGCACACTGCCTAGAACACTGCAGTTATTCAGCAATTGGGAGTAACAGTGGATACAAGTCTTCACTGGCCTTTGTCCTAAAATTCTTCCTAAAAGGGGGTATAGCTCAGGGGCAGAACATTTTTTTTTAAAGATTTATTTATTTTTATACAAGAACTGGGGTACAGGCCAGATGTGCCAGAGGGTGAGAGGATTCACCCGAGACAGAGCGGGAACAGAACAGGCAGACTGACAAAATACACTACTGAGGGGAGCAGTGGGCTAGACAGGAGAGGTCTGCTGTGCCATGTGGAATTCTCACCGGCCAGCCTGAATTGAATCCGCGCTGCAGAGGCCGTGGACTGCTTTACAGTGCAGCGCTCAACCACCTCCGCCACCAGGGAGGCCTAGGGGCAGAACATTTGACTGCAGAAATCCTTCCTTTGCTTGAAGAATGTTACATTTCAGTTCAGCCTTACTTTGGTATCCTAAATAGTTGATGTTTTTAAGCTATCTTCAAAAATATATTTTTATTCCCTCAATTGCTTTTAAAATAGCATTAAATGCATCCTACAATGTCTCATTTTGGTTATAAACCTCTAAACGAAATTAAGAAAATTCTAAAATGTTAGAATGTTGATTAGTAAAGAGCATGATAAAGATTTCCTTGGGATTCCAGCACCTTCCATTTCATAAGAGTTTGCATTCTTCTCTTCATAACATTCTATTACACTGTCAGCCTATGACTGGCTGCAGAAATCATTATCGCTGTTTTCTTCCTATGGGACTCATGATGCTTAATCGTTTACATTTCAGAGGGGCCATCATTAGATTAATTCCCCCTTCCCCCCGCTCATGTATACTTTGGGGCCTATATACAGATAGTGCCAGCTGAGTGGTTTTTATAGCAGGAAGATGGGAATGAGGGTTTTCATTGGCAGCATCATTCTTACACCCCTTCCCTGCCAGCCCTGCAAGCAGTGTCCTCATTGCTATCCTTGGGAAGGCTACTCACAGAGCTTTAACTTCCATCACACTTGAAAATATGCAAAACCCTTTCATATACATCATGTTTTCATTTGATCTTTGTGGAGTGTAGGTCGTAAATTTGTCAGCCTTATTATAAAAAGATAAGGGAATATAGGAAATTTGGGGACTTACCCAAAAGCCACTAGGTGCAGAGCCAGAACTTGAACTCAGAACCTGAATCCGCTGCCTTGAGGGATTATCAGCAAGGGAACTTCAGCTGTCATTGATACTATATGGAAAATTCTGAGATTGGGCCCTTTATTTCTACCCTGGTGGTATAAGCTTGTTCTTATCCAGACTCATCCTGATATTTTCAGGCTTTTTCAACTTTGGAAGGTGATTTTTCCTAAATCACTGAAGAATGTGAGCTGGGTTGTGGTTAGAATACCACTGCCCCATTTTGGGGTGTGAAGATATCTGATGAGCTTAAAGGATCTCCATGCTTTGCCTTTAGAAGATCATGAAGAATTCTCATGATTTAGTTTTGTACAATGGGTGATGAGGTTGTAGAAACATAATTACTCATTGTTACATACATAGAATTTTTATAAATCCTTGGGACATTGAACATGATCTCTATATTTTGTTTTATTTGTTCTTGCAAAGCAGACTCTAAATCTCCTCAACTTATTTTTATACAAATTTTGCTGAGCACTTATATATCTTGATATCATGGCCTGAGACTAATTTTCGTTAACTCAGTTTAATTTAGGGAAAATTTGACTCTTATAGTGATCTTTCCCATAGCCCTAGGCAAGGATTAGAAATGATGTGGGAAAAATCATCATAAAAAAGGAGGAAGATAGAAACCAGAGAGGAGAAGCTTGCCCGGGGTACACCCTGCCCTTTTGTCAAGATTCATCAATTGCTCCAAACTTAGTTCCAGATTTTGACAATTTTTGTTTTCTTTGGCCTCCTAACATTGCATCCTCCCATCCATTTCCCCCATGCTCCGTGCTAGGATTGCTCTTAGCAGGTGGGCTGAGAGCTAGGTCAGCTAGGTGACTGACTCCCCAGTACAGACCCCTGAGCCCCACACAGCTTCTCTTAAGCATTTCACACTTTACCAGTGCCCAAGATGGGTCTTTGTCCAGGGCAGCCACTTTTCTTACATTCCTGATGACATCAACCTTTTGACCTTGATAGGTTAACCAGTCTGTCAAAAAAGCTGGAAAGTGGCAGAACAGAGACTTGAAACTTTGACTCCTTAAACCTGTTCACTGAGTCAGCTCTCGAGTATTGCATCTTTTAGGGACAGTTATGTGCAAAGTTTTGGGATTAGTTTAGATGATATATTAATTGGATATACACTTATGAAACTGTATAAGAGATTTTCTTTTGGGCCTCCCTGGTGGCGCAAGGGGTTAAGCTCCACACTATGAAGCAATACACAGCCTATGTAGCATGAATGTGATCCCTGGCCAGCCAGGGAACAACCCACATGGCGCAGCAGATCTCTCCTGACTCAACCCACTGCTCCCCTCAGCAGTATATTTCAGCCAGTCTGCCCGTTCTGCTCCCCACTCTGTCTCTGGTGAATCCTCTCAGCCCCCTGCATCTCTGGCCTGTACCCCAGCTTTTGTATGCATAAATAAATAAATCTTAAAAAGAGAGAGAAATTTTCTTTTATTTAATAGTGTTTTTCCCCTTCCCTGCAGAAAAAGGAGCCAGTGGGAGATGATGAGTCCATTCCAGAGAATGCATTAAACCTTGATGACCTCACTGCAGACACACTAGTTGTAAGTTACTGTCCTTCTCTAGGTTGGGATTTCTGTGCTTTTATCTTAACTCTAGTCCTAGACATCAGGTGCTGCCACGCTGCTCCACACAGCATTTTCGCATCTGCAGCTGGGATTAAAGTTCCGCAGCTGGGAAATGTCCCCGTCTATCTCTTATACTCTGATGTGATGTATTAGACAGCAGAGAATGGAGTCAGGGTGTGTGTGAAAGCCATGAATGAGAAGAAGAGAAGAGGAGCCCAATTATGCTCAGTTTGTCCAATTCCACAAAGTGAAGGAATTTTTCATTTTGCTATAATTCAGTAAATGCTCACCACCATAGCCAAGGGCAGTGATTTTCAAGTTTTGTAGGCATTGGTCCCCTTTTTTTATGGCCCTTAACATAAAAGCATTAAAAAAACAAAACAAAAAAAACAAACGAAAAGATGAAAAAATATAAAAGCATAGCAAGAGCCTGAACCGAAAAAGCAAGTTGCTGCAGGGGTGCTATTTCTGTCTAGCCCTACCTGGTAAGGGTCCCCTCCAAGAAATCAAAGTACAGATTGAAACACCTGCAATAATGATTACGAAATAAGTTGAAGACAAGGTCTCTTGCTCCTGGTAAATTTATAATTCTTCTAGAGGGAACATTAAATATAGCATATATTCAAGTGCTAAATTGGTTTAATCAGGAAAATCATGAAGTGTAAAATAAGGTAAAACTCTTAGAAGATCTACAAGAATTAAGATTCCTGACATGGATGGGAACAAGAGGAGTGGCCAGGATTGATCCATCTCTCTCCTAGGAACCCCAAGGAAAATGCCAGCAGCTCAGTAGACTGTGTCTGTCCCTGAGAGCAGTGGCTCTTGGTTCTTTCAGAACCTTCCTTTTCAGTGTTTAAGATCCCCTCACACGGTAGTCATCAGAGCTCAGCCTGAGATCTTCGGCCACAGTCTTCTATTCTGTCCTTGACTCGATTTCCTGGTCTGTTTGGCTACAGAACCTGAAAGTCTCACAAATCAAAAAAGTCAGACTCCTCATCGATGAAGCCATCCTCAAGTGTGATGCGGAGCGTGTGAAGCTGGAAGCAGAGCGGTTTGAGAACCTCAGGGAGATCGGGAACCTTCTGCACCCCTCTGTGCCCATCAGTAATGACGAGGTGGGCAGGCAGGCGTCTGTGCCACAGCAGACGGCTGCCCTACATGCCTTCTCGGCTGCCCTACATGCCTTCTCGGTTGGGAAGGGGGCGGGGTGGGAGGGGGACAGTGAGACGCTGGCGCTCTCTGTATAATAGTCCTTGTGTCAGAAGCAAGCTCTTTGTGTATTCCCTCTGCCCACCAATTGAGAATGGAAGGAGTCAGATCGTTGCCTGATTGGGAAGTAGCAGAGACAGCAGGTAGGAGGAGACTCCTGGCACAGAAATCTCTTCTAAATCGGGCTGCTGTCCTGCACTGCGTGTTGCCCTTGGTAGCAGTGAGTCTTGTGGGAGGGATCTGCTAAATCAACCTCACCCCTCACCCACACCCTGCTGAGAAGCTGCAGGTTGAAGGGAAATCTGCATGATAAAAGTTTCCTGCTGAGTGGGAGCTTCCCAGCACAAAGCTGCTCTGAGCCCAGCCTTTGTTCCTTGACACCCCAGCAGTGGCAGGGCCCATCTGTGCCTCTTTCATTCATTCCCTGGTGAACAGTAAACTGCAGGCTTGTGGGGGGGTGGGGGGAGTTGGTGTCAGGGGCAGACTTGCAGACTCTCGGAAGGTCAGGGCCCTGAACCCTCCCTCCTGTGGCCCCGGGGACCAATGAGAGCCTGGAACAAAAAAGCTACTTTCTCTCTGCACCCGAGGCAATGCTGATTGTGTGAGGTTGTCCTGGTGCTGGATTTTCAAGGAGTCATTTAAAAGGGTAAAAAAAAAAAGGGGGGGTGGGGGGCAGGCCCGGGGAGAGCACCTCGATCTTTTGGGAAATAGTGATTTCAGTTTCATGGGTACAGTTCTAAGAATTCATGAATTATTTCTCAATCAAGGACACGTTCTCTAGCAGAACCCCTGCTAGTCTCTGGATGCGGTGACCACTGGCCTACCAGAACACTAGGTCGTTCTTGGAATTAGATCTGAGAGGGCAGAGGTTGTGACGTAGAAATCACATATCTTTTTTTTTTCCTCCTCGTCTTGTTTGCTTAGGATGCTGACAACAAAGTAGAGAGGATTTGGGGTGATTGTACAGTCAGGAAGAAGTACTCTCACGTGGACCTGGTGGTGATGGTTGATGGCTTTGAAGGCGAAAAGGGGGCCGTGGTGGCCGGCAGCCGAGGGTACTTCCTGAAGGTAAGAGCTGGGGGTGGGATTAGAGAGAAGGGGCTAAAAAATAAAAGTATAGAAAACTTAAGCTGTTCTAAAAGGCCCCTCGATTCACCACCTATACCCACCTTTCCGCCACATACCTACTAGCAACTGGATGGATTGCTCTTTCTCTTAAGCAATTCTGCTTAACAGAATTCCTTAGAACAAAAGCCACTATGTGATCCTTCATAATGAATATATTTTGCTGACTGAATCAGACCAGTCTCTGTTTTTAAGGTGATTGAACAGTCAGACAAGGAGCAGGGGAAAAGCCACCAGTGATAAACGCTGTGGCGCTAGGTGGCCCGATGCCATGACAAGGGTAGACAGAGGCAACAATCCAGATAAGCTGGGATGGAGGGCAGGTGAACGCAGGGAAGGCTTGCAGGAGGGCGGGGTAAAATAATTTGGGAAATACATAAATATATAGGCATGCTCTATGTATACAAATGAGTCCAGTGTCTTTAAGAATTAGCACAAGGTAACTCCCACACCCCCTGGGTGAGTGACCCTTTCCCTGCTTTGGAGTCTTGGAGAGAATCTCTTCACCGTTCACGTGGATGATAGGCCAGGGGGGTTTTGAGTCAGTTGTTGGGGCCCTTTTCTGGCCTCCTGTATGTCCCTGGGGAGTCACATTCATGTAATCCTAGTAGGTGGATATGCAGTGACAGAACCTGCTCTCACAGTGCCGGGTCTCTTGCTCCTTCAGGGGGTCCTGGTGTTCCTGGAACAGGCACTCATCCAGTACGCGCTTCGCACCTTGGGAGGCCGGGGCTACACTCCTATTTACACCCCCTTTTTCATGAGAAAGGAGGTCATGCAGGAGGTGGCACAGCTCAGCCAGTTTGATGAAGAACTTTATAAGGTGAGTGGCCCGTTCAGGGTGGCTTCTTAGGTTGTGAAGTTTAACCTGAAGGATACAGAGCAGCATTGTCCAGTGGAACTTCTGCAGCGATGGGAATGCTTGCTCTCTGGCTGTGGCTTTTGAGCACATAGAATGTGGCTAATACAACTGGGGAAGTAAAACTGTGTCTAGTGGCTACTATATTGGACAGCACGGACGTGCCCTGTCCTATGCCCCCCTACACCACTCCCCAGGTCATCTATCTGCTGTGTATGAAAAGCACACCAACACCATGAGCTTGGACCAGAAATACATTTATTGAGTGCTTGGGACAGAAGGAAATGATAGAAGTAGCTGATCTTTCCTTCCCTCCTACTGTTGACTCCAGACTGAAAGTTTCCTCAGAATAAGACATTTTCCTTGGGGTGGGGATGGCTTCTGGCTTGGCTCTGATGCAATAGTTAGCATCAGAGAGAGAGCCAGAGGATCCGAGTCAAGGTTCAGAATGTCATTCAGTTCCACCAGTTCTAACACCAGCCATGACACCCCTAGTCTATACCCAGCACTCAGGATTTGTAGTGTCTCTGCTGGAGGGTGCCACATTGCCCCAAAGTTCACGTGTCCCTTGTCCTTCTTCAAGAAGGTTCTGTCAGAAGGGGGCGACTTTGTTCTTATTGCCTGTTGCTTCCCAAGACCCATGGAGGGGAGCAGTAGACCCCAGTCTTAGGGCTCACCTGACTTACCTTATGTGGATAGAGGTTCATAGTCAGAATCTTCTTCCCACTGGGTCCTGTAGATGAGTTCAGGGCTCTATTTTCATTCAAGATGCAGTGGGAGCAAAATCCTGAGCATGAGTACAACCTTAGTGTCTTCCTCGCTTCTTTCTTTTCTTCCTTTTAATGAAAGAAATGTGTTCATATATCAACTTAAACCTATTTGATCTTTTTTCTTTCTCTTCTCAACTTCCAAGGTTGGATAAACACTAACAGAACTCTAGAAGGATGAGGCCAGGCAGGTAATACCAGGGAGGGAAACTTACATGGAGAATTATGAGAAATGTCAGGTAGCAGGTCTCCCTGAGTTACTTGCATCTGCCACTTCTTATCCAGATGCTTCTTGGGTCCACAGGCAAGGTGAATCCCCCATTGGGATAGTGAGGAGTTTGGCTGGCATTTCTTGTCTGACATAAACCTCAGTTTATTCCTTCTCTGCCCGGTGATGGAAACGTCCTGAATCTGTGCTGTGGTGTCCAGCCACCAGCCATATGTGGCTCCTGAACATATGAAACAGTGGAAACCAACTCATGTCAACTTAGAATATACAGGGCACACTAGTGCCTGTGCTGCATTGGGCTGTCCAGCCCTAGGGTTTTCTCTGTTGTATGTGAGGTAGCCCTGCAAGGCACTAAATGCCTTTTGTCAGATAGCAAGGTGGTTTTTGTTGAGCCCCAAACCCTGGCACAGAGGAAGTTCCCTTCCCTCTTTTTTTTTCTTTTTTTTTTAATTTATTTTTATTTATTTATGCATATAAGAACTGGAGTCTAGGCCGTACGTGCAGGGTGAAAGGATTTACCAGAGACAGAGTGGGGAACAGAACAGGCAGATCTACTGAAATACACTGCTGAGGGGAGCAGCAGGTAAGACAGGAGAGGTCTGCTGCGCCATGTGCGTTAGCTCCCTGGCCAGGGATCACATTCATGCAGCAATGGCTGGTGATGGCTTGATAGGGCTGAGACTTAACCCCAGTGCCACCAGGGAGGCCCCACCTTTTTTTTTTTCCCCCTTTAAAATAATGCTGCATTGCAGAAGATTTCCAAATAGGCAGGGGGCAGTCATCTCCTTTTCATTACTTACTATAACAGTTACCGTCTTTAATATTCTCTTGCAGCCTTTTTTCACACATATATTAGCTTTCATGCTTCTAATCATAACGTATATAGATTGCCTTTACTTAGCAGTCTGTCAAAAGCATTTTTCAGTGTTATGGTGTGGTCTTGATAACCTTTGTTTTTAAGTGGCTTCATAATAGACATGGGGCTGGATGCAGGAGAGTCAGCTTCTCCTGTTAATTATTTAGGGGGCTTCTCCTCTTGCTGTCAGTAGTGATTTTGCAAAGAACTTTGTCCCACCTGCAGTTTTTTCTTTTGCATTAGTTTCATCCACTTTTTTTTTTATAATCCTGGACTTTATGTCTCCTTTTGCTCAGCAGGCAAAAAGGACTTGGCACTTGGTAAAGGCCTCACAAACTTTTGTTGAGTGAATGAATTTCTGTTGCTACCAGCTCAGGCTTTATTGCGTGCCTGCCAACACTAGCCTTTATAGCTGTTTCATTTATCAGCTAAGTAGAGTATTATCAGAATATTTTATCTCCTTTCAATTTGCACCTCTTTGATCTCTATTAGGGACCCGATTCTGGGCTAACCCAATCCCTTCCTTGTTTGTTTCGTGTCCCCTGCTCACTCTGGGCGAGTGTTAAACCCCACCTGACCCATCACCAGTACGGTCCTGTGGTGTCTTGCTCTCGCTGCGGCCCTGACCCTCCCTAACTGGGAGAGTCCCTGCTCCTACAGGTGATCGGCAAAGGCAGTGAGAAGTCTGATGACAACTCCTATGATGAGAAGTACCTGATTGCCACCTCAGAGCAGCCCATTGCCGCCCTCCACCGGGACGAGTGGCTCCGGCCAGAGGATTTGCCCATCAAGTACGCCGGCCTGTCCACCTGCTTTCGCCAGGAGGTGGGCTCCCACGGCCGCGACACCCGCGGCATCTTCCGAGTCCATCAGTTTGAGAAGGTGAGTGGGTGGCTCAGGGTGAGGAGTGGTACCCCTATCCCTGTCTGGGACACTCAGAGGAGAGCAGGAGTCTTTGTTGCTGAGGCCTGCTCTGGTTCCTGACTTCCCTCTCATTGCTTCCATCTGTGTTTCTGGAAAGAGCCCGAGAGCACACGCTGGAGTGCCTCTGAGCACAGAATTTGGAACAAAGTTGCTGTGTCCAGATGCCAGCCTGCTAGCCCCATTGCTTGCCAGCTGTTTGACCTGGACAAGTTGCTTAACCTCTCAGTGCTCATTTTCCTCCTCTGTGAAAGGAGGATAATAGTAGTACGCTCCCCAGTAGGCCTACACAGGGCTCCATGGTTGGTGTATGCAGAACACTTAGAACAGTACTTGGCCTGCCTGGTGTCAGTTCACTCTGAGCTTGTGCCTCATCACCTCCCAGGCCGGTTTAGCGCCCATCTGGCTTGATGGGGCCCAGGCATGCCTGACTCCCAGTGTGTAGGAATGGGTCTTCATTGCAAGGAGACCTCCCTGTTGGGTCCTTTAATGTCTTTTTTTTTTTTTGCATAGAACAACTGGGGTGTAGGCCGGAGATGGGGGTGGTGAGAGGATTCACCAGAGACAGAGTGGGGAGCACGACAGGCGGATTTTCTGAAATATACTGCTGAGGGGAGCAGCGAGTGAGACAGGAGCGGTCTGCTGAGCCATGTGGGTTAGCTTCCTGGCTGGGGACCCAACTCAGGCCATAGTGCTGATAGTGCTGAGACTTAACCCCTAGGCCACCAGGAAGGCCCTGTCCTTTAATGTTTTCCCCCTGTCCCATTGTCACTGTCTGCTTGGGTCCCTCTCTGCAGATTGAACAGTTTGTGTACTCGTCACCACATGACAACAAGTCATGGGAGATGTTTGAAGAGATGATTGCGACCGCAGAGGAGTTCTACCAGTCCTTGGGGATCCCCTACCACATCGTGAATATTGTCTCAGGTATCAGGCTCCCTCCTCCAGCCCACAAGCACCACCCTCACCCACTGAGTTGCCACACAGTGAAATAGCTCACAGTCCAATTAATTGCCCACATTAATTAAAATATCACACTCTTCTCACTTGGGAGTGTTCAGTGATGAGAATATCTAGGTGTGACTTCTCTTCTGGGGTAGAAGGGGAATTAAAGAATTCTTCAGATTTGATGAAGTTTAGCCTTCTGAAATACCCCTCCTGCATGAGTTCTAGGGGTTTCTCCTTACAGGTTCTTTGAATCATGCCGCCAGTAAGAAGCTGGACCTGGAGGCCTGGTTTCCAGGCTCAGGAGCCTTCCGGGAGTTAGTCTCCTGTTCAAACTGCACAGACTACCAGGCTCGCCGGCTCCGAATCCGCTACGGGCAAACCAAGAAGATGATGGACAAGGTAGCCGGCCCCAGGGAGGCGGGAAGCTGACCTTCACTGCAGAATAGACCTGTCTAGTTCTCAAGGCTTAGACCGCATTACTTCCCAGCATCTTGGGAAAATCTGAGCTTCTCAATCTAGACCAGAAAGGAAATCTGAAAATGATTCTACTGAATCAGGGATGAGGCCTTCCAGCTAGAAACCTGAATCTCCCTGTATTCTACAAATACAGGGAGTTCTAGCTTTTCTAGAACTTTCTTTTTTTTTTCCCAAGTAGTTCTAGCTTTTCTTTTGGGGGCTTGGTTTTCATTGCTCCAGATAAAGAATAACTCCCCTTTGCCTACTCAGAACAAGGCAGAGCTGATGTATTCTCTCTCCTCGCCCAGGAAGTGTGTCCTTTCACTCCCAATATTTAGGTCCTAATTTAGGTCAAAGACTTGAAAGATGAAAGGTTAAAATGAGGCCACTGTGGTAGTGGGCCTACCTTTCCCTTAAAGGGCCCACCTCTCAGAATACTGGGAGTTCATGGAGGCCTGAGGACTCTTCCTGAGTCATCTAATAAGCAATAAGTAGTAGCAAGATGCTCAAGATTGGAGAAAGACAGTAACGGATAGAATTTGACCTGGGTGGTCATGGTCTGTGGGTCTGGCTGTGTGGTTCCTGGCCCAGGGTAGATGTAACTGCCCGCTCTTGGGACCCTCTTCTTGCAGGTGGAATTTGTGCATATGCTCAACGCCACCATGTGCGCCACCACGCGGACCATCTGCGCCATCCTGGAGAACTACCAGACAGAGAACGGCATCCTCGTGCCCGAGAAATTGAAGGAGTTCATGCCTCCAGGTAAGACTCTGGGCCCAGGTTTCCTTATTCAGACGCTGTCCCACAGCTCTCCCTGTCCTCCAGTGCTGGGCCGCGCTAGGCAAGCTGAGAAAGCAGTCGACTCTTGTGTGATGTCCTGCCCAATTGCAGCTAGAATTCCAATTGGGAAGCAAAGAGGAAATAGAACCAGTGCTCACCAGGTCCCCTTTGTTCACAGGGGTCACTGTCTTGTTGGACTCCCCCCAGATGTCCTAGAGCTTCAACTCCTGAGAACCCAGAGATTATATGTTTCTCTTCCCTTCCAGGTCTCCAAGAACTAATCCCCTTTGTGAAGCCTGCACCCATTGACCAGGAACCATCAAAGAAGCAGAAGAAGCAGCATGAGGGCAACAAAAAGAAAGGGGCAGCCAGAGATGTCACTTTGGAAAACCGGCTGCAGAACATGGAGGTCACCGATTCCTGAACGGTCCCTCCGTCCGCCAGATTTTACTCTGTCAGCTGGAGCCCAGAGCCCGCTCCCCCCAGGGAAGCCAAGCACCCACTCATCACCATCCCATCTGACTTTTAGCACAGCTAAAAGGGGAGCCATCTGCAGTGTCTACGGCAGTGTTCCCGTCTCTCCACATGGGCATAGGATCCAATCACTGATGGCTGGGGAAACCATGTAATAAAGCATCTCGGGGGGAAGACAAGGTCGCTTCCTCGGTCTCCTTCCCTGGGCTCGAACCCAGGCTCTGACAGCTCCCCCTGGCACCATACTTATTTTTGCTTTTTCTGCTCAATTAGGCTGTTCCATTTAGCCAATCAGAGAGCGTTTGAGAAGGAGGGTGAGCGCCAAGTTTGTAAAGGTTCAAGGGCCAGTGAAGCCTTTGTGTAGACACACAAGCTTGCAGGACAAGAGCCAGGATCCTCCTTTATCAATTTGCTTCTGCTTAAAAACCAGCTGGGACTAGCTTAGAGACCAGAACTGATATCAAAAGCCTCAGGCTCCCTGGGCAGGACTCCACGGAAAGGGGCGTGAGGCCTCCGGGTCGATGTGTTTAATCCAAAAGAGCCTTTGGGTTCAAGAGCACGGTCAGGGCCTTATTAACAGCTGCTCTCTTTCCAGTCATTCCCAAATGGGAGGCAAACTGCTTAGCAAAAGATCAGGATAACCAGCATCACAGGGGATGGGGGGTGACCAGAATGTTCTAGTCCTTTCTCTGGAGCTCCCACTGTTGCCTAATAGCCAGTTCATCCTTTCTCTGGGAGGGTGATGTTTAGGCTCCTTATTTACATGCTGCCTTTCATCTGCAATCTACAAACATGTACTTTAATAACACCTTATGATAGTTTAGTGCTGCCCTCCTAGGAGCCTGAAATACTTCCTATAGATGATCTCTTTTATCTTTGTGACAGTCCCAGAAGGGAGGGTGGAGACATGATTATACCTGTTATATCGCATGGAAGACAGAGCAAGTGGATAATGGAGGTGAGACAACATGTCCAGGTGGAAGCCAGGAGGCCTGACTCCTCAGCGTTTGTGTTTGTTTTGCTTTTTTGGAGGATGAGAGCAGAACTCTGAACTGGCCTGTCACTCAGGAACCTTTATTTCTTCTGAGCTTCCTTAGTCCCTAAACAGCAGCCTCCCCTGGCCTATTGGAGCTTGGCACCAAGGAAAGAGGCCATGTGCTTGGTTTTCCACTGGGGCTAGGGCCTTATCCTCTTCACCTTGCTGCTGGAAACCCTGTCAAAACGGGGCACCTGAAAAATGTCCACAGTGGCCCTAGCCACAGGCAGACTGGAACAGCCAGCCTCTCATGTAGCCCATTGGCCTCCAACAAAGTCAGGGCAAGAGGACAAAAGAGCAAGCTCCTCCCATTATTCAGAAGAATCAGAAAGTTACATTCCTGCAGCCTTGACAATTTGGTTTGAAGGAAGGCTGTTTACACAGTGGGCAGGAGACTGGCTTTGCTCTTCTCATGCCCCCTGCCACACACCTTCCTCCCCATTTGAAAAGCCCATTGGGCACTGGGGCTTAGAAATTTTCAGATGCCCTAGACACCTCCCCCCCATCTGATCTTAGAGGTCACTACAGCTGCCTCTGTGCCCCACTCCCTTTAGCTCCAGGTGCCCATGACCTTCCTTCCACCAGGAGGCACTGCTTTTTGTCATGGCCCTGAACACGCAGCTAAAAAGCCCAGGGCCCCAGCTTTGGCCCTCCCAATGTAGCTCCCCCCTGCTTTGGCTGACTTACCTTCTCACCTGACCAGTTTTCTGGACCTGGTTGCACCTGGAACCTGGACTGCTGTCTGCTTTGTACAGAGAGCCTCCTGCCCTATGCTGGCAGCCTAGCATCCCTGCCAGCCTTGCCCCATCTGCCCTGCAGCTGGGTCAGCATTTGGACTGGCCTGGGACCGAAAAGGAGTGAGCGGAGCTGCAAAACTTTTCCACTAGTTGAGAAACCAACTAGTGTTAGCAGAAAGTAAACCTTCCTGAAGCCACAGGAGAGAAAATGGGTGGGTATCTGTGGCGGGAAGGATGACCCTGGAGCTGAGACCCCTCCCAGCAGATCACTTGCCAGCACGCAGCAGGCAAGCACACATGGGTGCACGTTCATTTACAGAGCACTGCCCTGTGCCGGGCCTGAGCAGCAGGGCTGACAGAAAGAATGGGACACAGTCTTGACTCAAAAGAACTCAGTCACTGAAAGGTGTGGCTTGCCTTCTCCAGACTGAGCCCAAAACCAGACTCCTTCCTTCCCTGGAGCAGTGGGTGATGCAAACCCTGTTTCGGATGGGCTGGCTGGCCTGGAAACCCAGCACTTGGGAATGGGCCCAAGTAACCTAGACTCCACCCCAGCAGTTGCCTCCACAACCCACAGCGGATGCCCTCATCTCTGGCACCTTGGCCTGCCCCATCTCCAACCTCAGCTCCCCAGGTTACCTCAGTTAGCAAACAACCCCCACAGACCCGGTGGAGTGAGTCAGAGCCCTGGGTCCTTTACCAAGCCTTGGTTCCCACACCTAGGAATTCAGGGCCCAAGATGCGGGTCTGGGTGCTTCAGGCAAGAGAGTGAGGAGGCAAGACCTGTACAGAGAGAGAGACCAGGCCACCGCGTGGGGACCCACGTCCTGCCAGAGTTCAGTCTGCCTGGAACGTCTGTATAGTGTCCAGGGAGCCCAACATTCCCCCCAAATAATGAAACCACTCCTGGGTACTGACACCTTCCCTGCAGAGCCTGTCCAGCTTTTCCTTCCCAGAAGCTTTTCCAGTTTACCGGGTCCTGAGAAGCCTCCTTCCCCCTCCCCCCACCCCCATACCTCCCACTGGGGGCCTGGGGCGCCCTGGCTGTGCTCCCAGGATGAGTCTGACAGACAGAGCTGCTGGGATGGGCCCTTGAGAAATGTGCTGCAAGTCAGAGCTTGCGCCAGGATGAGGGGCCCGCTCTACTCCCCCAATCACCTCCCAGCACCCGGTTCCCCAAAGGCTCCTCCCTGAGACACCAAAGTGGGGGCACAACTGCTTCTCCGGAGGAGGAGGGCCTGCCTGATGGGGCTGACACCTCTGCCTCTGACATTACCCTTTTAAGAACCCCCCCCCACAGGGCGGGGGTGCTGCAGGCAGGTTCTTGTTGCAGAAACCCTGCAAAGTGCAGCTCCCCTTGGACCTGCGGGAAGGAGATGGAGCGTCCCCTCGCCAGTCCCAATCTCTAGGTTCCTCCATTCGCCACTGGTGGAACAGAGGTGGGGGCTCCCAGCGACCTATGATTCTGAGAAAGCCCCTTTTTCTGGAGGGGAAGTTCCCGTCTTTAGCTGCTCTGATAGGTTGGCTGGCAAGACCTGCATTTTGGAGAGCATGTGGGTCCCTCCTTTGGACTCGGGCTTCCCTCCCCGCTGCCGTCAGAAATGGTCTGGAAAATTATTTTCATTGAGGTGTAAATTGCTGGTAAGATGGTGTGACATTTCAGGGAGACTCTTTAAAAAAAAAAAAGATTTATGCATACAAGAACTGGGGTGTAGGCTGCTAGAGCTGTGGGGTGAGAGGATTCACCTGCGGCAGAGTGGGGAGCAGAACAGGCAGATCTTCTGAAATACACTGCTGAGGGGAGCAGCGGGTGAGTCAGGAGGGGTCTGCTGTGCCATGTGTGTTGCTCCCTGGCCATGGATCGAACTCGTGCTGCAGTGACTGCGGATAATTTCATAGGTAGCAGCGTCTTAAACCGTTGCGCCAGCACGGAGGCCCCAATTCTTTTTTTTTTTAAAGATTTATTTTTATACAAGAGCTGGGGTACAGGCCAGAGGCGAGGGAGGGTGAGAGGGATTGAACAGGTGCTGCAGAGGCTGCGGGCAGCTTCCCAACCCAGCGCTCAACCACTGCGCCACCGGGGAGGCCCCTAACTCTTTTTTTTTTTTAAACCCTAAAGAAACCGAAGAATTAGGCTCCCATTTAGAATAGGGTCGATTAGCCTTTTCTTCTTCCATCTTGTCTCAGAGGGGGAAAAAATTTCCCACTTTCTCCAAAACCAGCCTTCTCGACTGGAGTCTGGATCTCATGGCCAGTCAGTGACTCCAGATGCCTGTTCTTCAGCCCTCCCTCTTCTGAACCTCGCTTCTCCCTATCCCTTCACCACCCTTTCTCCTCAACCTACCTGCTTACATTTCCCCATCTTAAAACAGCCTTCCCGCAGTCTTGCCTCTGCTGTCGAATTATGACACCTTCTGGCTCCTTAGCCCCAAACAGTGGACATTTGTAGCCACTGCTACCTCATCAACATTCCCAGCCCTCCCTCCCCGGTGGTTGAGCGCTGGGTTGCGAAGCTGCCCGCAGCCTCTGCAGCACCTTTTTGATCCCTGGCAGCTGGGAGGGTCCCACATGGCCCACAGACTTCTCCTGCCGCCCGCTGCTCCCCTCAGCAGTGTACTTCGGTCCTTCTGCCTGCTCTGCTCCCTGCTCTGGCTCTGGTGAATTCTCTCACCTTCCCACACTTCTGACTGTACCCACTCTTGTATAAATAAATAAATAAATCTTAAAAAAAAAAATTCCCAGCCCATCCATTCCCCTATTCTCCTCCTATTCCTCCTATTCCACCAAGGGACAGTGGAATGTTCCAGAATAAGAGAGGGATGAGGGATCTTGAAAAGGCCTGAGGAGCTGGAGTGCAGAGCCAGGGGGATGTTGGGTTGAGGAGAGAGAAGTGGAAGGGCTGGGTCTCATCTCTAGCTCTTCTCAGGCCACACGTACACCGTGAGCATCTCTGCCTGGATCCCAAACCCAAAAGCCCAGTCTAGTTGTTTACCTGACCCTCTACCCACCCTCCTCTAGACATCCAGGCACCCCGACAAAAACCCCGAGTCACCCGGGACCATCCTCCCTCTTCCTCTGTGACCAGCCTTATGGAGTCTCTTCCTCACTCAGTCAGCCCCTGTGGCAGCCTGTTCTCAGCTTCAGGACAGGCACCCCTCCATCTGGACTCTTCCCGCCATTTCCTGCCAGGCTGCCAGACTCCAGGGCCTCTATCAGTGAGAGCATCACTGTCCCCAGAGGCCTGTCTGACAGCCGCCCTCCCCTGCTGAAGGGCTGTAGCAGCCTCCCTCAACATGTCCCATGAAGTCCAGACTTCTCAACCAGAATCCAGAGCCCTCAGACTGTGGCCTCTCCTCCCCACCAGGAGCCCTGAGCTCAACCCGGCCTGGTGACCCACCTCTCCCAACACTGACCCTGCAGTCTGCCCTTCCACACTTGTTCAT